CATGGAAGTATTGAGTGTGAACCTTGTCCTGGCAAATGATAGGAATTAATGGCAGAACTGAAAACTAGTTAAAGTTCAGTAATGAGATGTTACCAGATTTGAGGCACGTTATTCATTTGGATTATATTGTTTCCACATGGTATACTTCTGTGAAACTGTTTAAGAACAGATACCATGATAAATACAAAGCCACTCGGTTGTAGAAAACAATTCTAAAGAGAAAAATGTGAATTGCTATCAGAAGATGCTTGGGACTTTTTTAGAATGTTCTCAAAACCTGGATCAAGAAAGATGAGCCTGGATTAATAAATACATGCGCAATAGCTATTTTACATGGGAATTGAAAACACCTACAGGGCAAAATCTACCTGATTAGAGAAATAGTAAGTTAGAATGGGAGAAAGGCTAGAAAATAGATAGCGGCGGTAAAGCAACGTACAGGAAAACCCCTGATTTCTTGTGTTAATGTAATATTGTGTACACAATGGAAAATTTTCTTTAACAGTGGCCGTTGATTTAAAAATCTAGAAGGAGACAAAGTTGACATGCTACATGTTCTAAGATCTGTCCATTGACCATTTGTAATCTAGCTATTTTTAATTGAAATTTATCAGTTACTGATCATATTTTCCAGGGTTCTTTTTGGTCTTATTTGCTGGTAGTAAATAAGCAGGAACAAGTCAGCTTTAAATGGGGCCGTTGATTAATTTTACACTCCAGGAGATGAAAACTGTGGGCTGTATTTAGACAATTGGGGAATCACTTGTAGAAATATGCAGTGGTGGGCAGAGGGGTCTTTGGGATGGTACGGGGAACAATATATTGTTTGAGACACTCTGGCCCAAATGGTTCATATGACCATAATGACAGGAGTTGCACATTCGAGTAGAGCGGCCGTGTTAACATCTGTAACTGGTGCATGTGGGATTGCTGCTGGCGTGCTTTGTTCTGAAGGCTGTTGGGTCAATTCTTGCTACCTGTAAAACTTTGTTTATATTCACCTAGCTGTATTTTAAAGCCTTTTTGATTTGAGGCAGTGAGCGGGAGCCTGGGTAATATCCTTCAGCCGAGCTCTCGGTTCAGCTGCAGTGAATCCTGGTGGTGAAATACCTTTTTGCTCTGGGTCTTTGGAACTCAGATGTTTATTCAACTATTGCATGTAAAGATCTCTTACGTATAAAAAGTGCCTAGTATTGGGTTTTAAACTGTCAGTGAAACACTGCTTTCTGTGAGCTATGATGCATAATCTGCTTTTGATTGCTCTCTGCTTCTGTATTCTGGTGGCAGAAATAAAAAATGGAAATGAATGCCTGGCACTGAAATTGCGCAGGAAGCATCGTACCTGAAAATGCATGCAATTTCCTGTCTAGCACCGGCATTTCTGATATTTTCATTGCATGTATAATCCACTCTTCAGCTGAGATTTTCTTCTGAGTCTTTAGATGTTTTTTTTTTGTGCAAGACTGATAGCAGAAAGTTGCAATACAGCTCTTAGTTTGGGGTTTGTTTTAAATGGAGCTTGGGTTCCTGTTGTTTCTACAGAATGGTATTTCTGTTGTGAAGACCATGAGTTTTACACATGGGCGGTTCTGAAAATGTCTCTTAAATGATACGATTCATTTGAGCTGATTTTGTGGTAGTTCACATCTCGCTGTTCAAAGTCCTCTTCCTTGAGTTCCTCTCCCCCCCCCCCCCCCCCCCCCCCCAAAGGTTACTCGCCCATCGTGGGCAAATCCTCCCTGCTCTGTTGTCTCCCCCCCCCCCCCCCCCCCCCCAAGTTGAGGGATAGCTCACTTAGGAGTGAATTCACCATCCTTTAATTGGCTACACAGAAATTTGTGGGCAGCCACACATGCTGATTGTATTTTTTCATTTACTTTATGCAACTGTAAGTAACAAAGCTTAGAGTAGTTGCAACAGTATTTTAATTTTTTTTTTGCCCTTTTTTTTTTTTTAATTTGGTGACATCCCATGTTGAGGCAACTCTGACTTCACTTGGTAATTAAACCTCATTTGTGAAAGACATTTTCCCCATTAATTTGATCCATTAAAGAAATGCTCTTTGAAGCTGGTAGTTAATCTTCCTATTTAAATTGCTGGGTTTTACTCAGATTGGTTACAGCTTAGTTTTAAACAGCAGCTAAAAATAGCAAACTGTTGTGCTGTACAGTTTAAATATGTATCTACAGTAGCAGCCTTTCTAGAAAGGAAGTACCTAGTAAGAGAGAGAGGAGACTGCTGCTCAGACAGCACCGGTTTGTATCAACATCCCACTTTTCCTTGAGTTTTGCTCATCACAAAGTCAGTCACCGCTCCAGCAGGCAGCACTTGATTCTCTTACTCCAGGATTAATTTTTAACGGAGGTGCTATGAGCTTGATTTGAGCAGCATTTCAGTCGGTAATTAATAATTAAATGGTTATGAGAAGTTTTGACTGTTTATGTTGAAGTCTGCTGCTAAGTGTGCTAAAACCAGGCAAAAATCTAGAAACTAGCTGAAACATTTTCACGAACATTAAGCTTTCAGAAAGAAAATACAAGGGAAAGGGCTGAAATTGCAACTTGTGAGGTTAGCGTTTATTTTCATCTCTTACTTGAAGTGCACAGTATTATTGCCAAAGCATGGGGTTTTTAACTTAGAGTGTCTGCCGTTGAAAAGGAAGACGTGACAAAACTGCAGGCATCTAGGCAGATGGAAACCAATTACTTCCAGTAATTCTCCCTTGGGTTTCTATTGTAGAAGAAAATTTCTGCAGGTGAAGGGATCTTGAATGAGTAGCTAAAAAGAAAAATCAGAGGTATAAAGGTGAAGCTGTCTAAGGCAGCATAATTACTTGTTTTACCTTTGTCAGTGAAGTCTGTGGTCCAAGAAAGGGGACAAAGAGAATCCAGATGGTTTTTCATCTCCACCCTTAGTTTCCACCAAGAGAAAAGGTACTTGAGGCCTGTCTTCACAGTAAGAAATGTTTAATCCATCAGGTTATATAGCTAAAATATTTTTTCAGTATTGTTAAAGGTCACACTTCTCATAATGGCTGTTTCAGGATATACCTGTATGTCAGGAGTCTCAAGCTTCTCAGACCAAGGTATCCATGACTAGAGCAGGAACATCTGTTGTCACGGGGAAATTGAATGTGAAAAAAATCTGCAAGATGGGAAGTATTATCAGATATTTTAGGCTACTCTTCTGAGGAACACAAGCTTATATTCACAGAAACAGATAGAACTATTATATATTTGGCATTTTTTACTACTATAATACGCATAAGTTAGTTTTCCAGAGATCTCCATTAGTATTATGTTGATTTATTAATGTTTCTCATTACATAGAAATAGTATTTCTGTGACGTAGTGGCCTGATTTTGCCACCAAAGGAGAGAACATAATCCTATTCTTAGCTCTTATAAAACTTAGGATTCTGAAAATCAAGCTTCTAGTGTATTCTTCTGCTGGCAGTGGCAGGGGGTAGGAGGAGAGGATGGTGGGAGTGGGGATGGATGGGGATGCCCCACAGTTTTATGAAGTTGGAAAAAATGAAGTTTTTTGGCTATTGTGGGTAGCATTTCAGGTAAAGGACTGAAAATGTGTTCTTTTAGGTATGTATTTGACTGCTTACTTTGAATCTGGTTTGGTATTTCCCAGGCAGTATCAGCTTGTGAATAGCTTTCCTCTGTCATTTGTGGAACCTCTCACAAGGTGTGTGCTAATGAAAAACGTGTTTTTGCACAGATCCACAGACTTAGCAATGTGAATTTGGCAGTGGTAGTATGTGACTTTTAAGTCTAGTGAAATTTGAAAAAAGTAATTCCAAAACTGTTGGTAGTAAATAATGCAGTGGTTTATTTTCTGTCTTTTTCAACTAATGACACTTAATCTCTTTATGATAACATTAAAGGGCATGCAACTTTGAATTATAATAGCAGTGTTTACAGGCATATGTTTACCTTACAACTTTCATGTTAGTCAGTGATAAAAAGGGGATCCTACAGATGAGTGCAGCTGCCTTTTGTATCTCAGGTGTATGCAAAATGAAGATAGGGTGCCTTCAGAAGACATAAATGTAGAAAAAGAAAAATGGACAATAATACCATATGCTTTTGTGTCGTCCATTTAAAAATAAAGGCACATTTAACTGCAGTGGCATAATTTCCTCAGGAACCACGGCAGCATTAAGTTCTTGTTCAAACGTAAGAAAAATTTGGAGCTCCCGTCTCAAAATGCTTAGTTCAAAACTCATATGACATGCATGAGACAAGCGTGAACCAGTGTGGGTACTGGGAAAAGGGGGAATTATCCGTGATACCGACTGATGGAGAGTCTCTGTTCTTTCGGTGCTTGCTCTTAGTGACCTGTCCTTTACTTCATGCATCCTGGGGGAGGTGAGTCTAACAGAGGCAATGGAAGGAGAATGAGGCAACTTCTTAACAGCTGGAGTTTTCCCGTATAGGGGAGACTATGGAAGGGACTATGCTGCAGAAAGAGAGCTGGGAAAGGGACTTCTTGGATTGCTTGAAAAGCAGGACACCGTATGCTAAATCAATATCCTTGCTTATCTGACCTGTTAGGTGGGCTTTGTGAGGATGGTAAAAAGGGAAGAACTTGGAGAGTGTACACGATACTACTCGAGCATCAAGCTGGAGATAACTTACGCTGCAGTATTCTGAATGGACTTAAGGGGTTAGGAGAGAGGAAGGAAACAGGATTTGGAGGCTAGAGAGGCGGCAGTCAAGGTACGAGAGAAGCACTTCAGGAACTGTTCTGAGTACATAGATGTCTGGAGAACTGATCTTGTTGGAAGACTCTATGGGTTTGAATTTAGTTCTGGCAGAGCCCAACCGTGGCAGAACTCTATACACAGAATTATATTTACACTTTTAAACCGAGGTTTTAAATTATTCAACTTTGATAACTGGTTAATTGCCTACTGGGCAGCTTAGCTTCACATTTAACTTGCACAGAGAACTCTGTTTCTTATATTAACCCCAAACTTTGTTTATACAGGATTAGCTCGGAACGCAGAAAAGAGAAGTCAAGAGATGCAGCCCGGTGCCGAAGGAGCAAGGAATCGGAAGTGTTCTACGAGCTTGCTCATCAGCTGCCCCTGCCGCACACCGTGAGCGCACACCTGGACAAGGCATCCATTATGAGACTGACCATCAGCTACTTGCGCATGAGAAAGCTGCTAGATGCTGGTAAGTGAATAACCCAGCAGAAGCTGGAAGAGGGGCTGGAGGTAGATTGGGGAAGAAGCTACTTCTCAAACCTATCAGCAGTTAAATAAATACATTAATAGTTGCATCCTTTCTATGGAAAAGTGGAAGACCTTACAGTAGAAATAGGCTATTGGCGATGGCACAGGAAAAAATATGGCCACGATTCAGTGGACTTTGTTTTTCCCTTTCTGTTCTGATTATCCCACTTGGCTCATCCCAGCCATAGTGCCATTTTCAGTCTCAGCTATTTGACCCTTCTCCCAAAGTTAATTTCTTTCATTTAATCCTCTTTTTTTCCCCCTGGAGTTGGTTGCTACAGCTGTGCTTTACCAAACTGTAGGTGGTTGGTGCAGGGCTGGCTTAGCTAACTGTAGGTGTTTCTCCTTAATATAAACTGCAAGGAATTTTTTTGTAATTTGTACTCCACTGAAGGTGAAGTTAGCTGAGTCTGTCTCTGCAGTACACCTTCCCATGCAACTACAGGAGTATCTGAGCTAGCTTATGAACCAGTGTCTGTATAGCATGCCATGGATGCTGTACTGGTTATTTGTACTCATGCGTGCCTACCTATACCATACGGAGGAGTAACTTTGGTAGCCATACGCTGAAATGCCTCCCAGGAAGCCCCGACAAATGTTTGTAATGCCTTTTTGAAATAAATGCCATGTAGACTTTTTCCTTAAGGTTTGTTGGTTTATGCCTAAAAACACAGAGGTTTAACCTCTCTCTGATTTTCTGTGATTTGTGATACCATTACTGGAGCTTGAAGAATTTAATTGATCACTTGGATGAGTGAATTATACTGGTTTTGAATACTCCTGCAAGACTGACTGGTGCCAGAAATCATTCCTGATGGTAAGTGAAGAATGGCTGATGTTTACTTAAATGAAAATGTGTGGCTGCTTGTAGGTGAGCTGGAGACAGAAGCCAAAATGGAGAAGGAACTGAACTGTTTCTACTTGAAAGCTCTTGATGGATTTGTCATGGTTCTGTCTGAAGATGGGGACATGATTTACACGTCTGAAAACGTGAACAAGTGTATGGGACTCACTCAGGTGAAATACTGTCATTTCCTAAGACTGTTTCAAATCTGAAAAAGTTGTTCCATTTTTGTATATGTAAAGTTAGACACCCATATAACTCTTATTTTTTGCAGTTTGAGTTGACGGGGCACAGTGTATTTGATTTCACTCATCCATGTGACCATGAAGAGCTGAGAGAAATGCTTACACACAGAAATGGTGAGAAGAAAGAAAAAAATGATTTAATTTACTTATGGATAGTTCCTGTTGGCATTAGTACAGTTGGATATCTGCCAAAAAAGGTGTTGAGAGAACAAACTAGTATGTTTTGCTGCTTAAATCTCAAAACAAACCTTGTTCAGATATACTAACAACAGAAATAACCAGAATGTTTAGGCAATGTCCTAATTGTAGGAGAGATGAGACTTCATTAGTACTCCTTAATCTAAAACAAAATTAATGACTGAAACGGAATTATTGAGGGTGGAAAGAATTAGCGTGCCTAGAGGAATAAAATTAGGGGTGGGTTGAATGAGAATGATCTTAAGTGATTGCTATAGAAGGATATGGAGCAGTTAAATTGGTGCATTTGTCTTGGTCTGGGCTTGCCTTTACAGGACAACTTAAAAGCAAATGCTTTCTTCCAGAAATCTGTGGTGGTACGCTTAAGACACAAAAAAGATACTCTGTTTAGGACACGGAAAAACTAATGGGGGAATACTTGGACAGCCCCAAAAGGGCTTTGGGATTGATGCTTCTCTGCACCTTTTAATTGGTGCATGAAATTGGTATCTTTTCACAGATTTCTGACTCTTCTCCATCCGAGGGAGTAGAACACCATGTTCACATATTCTGTATGCTTTTGAATTTAACAAATGCCCATGAGTTACTGCTTTTATGTCTTCTAAAGGTTTGTTAATGACTATAAAGGCGTGGCAGCCTGTATGCCTCCAAGGAGATCTGTTTTATTCAGTTGTTAGAAGCCTAAAATCTGACCTCTCTCATTCCTGTTTCATCAAGCAAGGGTTATATGGACTCTGAATCTAGATAGCGATAAATTACCAAGCCTGACGTCTGCTTTCGTGTAGCACTGCAAATCAGAAGTCTTTTATGTTGTCATTCTGTTTAATTCAGTGGAAGGGACCTGATAAGATATCATAGCATTAAGGGCCCTGACTTGGATTTTGTAAGCATTTTCTAAACTTGTCTGCCCTTGGTATTGAAGTATATTTCTAAGGCTAGATTAGACTTCCCCCTCTGCTTTGGAATACAATAATGCACCTGGGGGTGGGTGAGTGGGGAAACAACTTCACTAAGGCAGTATAAGAACTGGTCTTGTTGCAAAAGCTTATTCTTAAAAAATGTCATATTACTGAGTTTCAGGCAAACCAACTCTAGCATGTCTAAATTGACCAGACTGGAATAAGATGTCTGGAAAGCATTATTGCAAAATCTGTTTCGCAAAAGAAATTGGCAGACAAAAGTTTAAATTACAGTAATAATAGTACGTTTTTATATTTATTAATATTCCCAGGTTGCATTCTACTGCAGCTCTTACATCAGTGGAATTATTTTGGTTTTGAATTGAGTATTAAATACTCCCCTTTGGGATTGTACAGGTGCAAACGAATATAAATGTGATTGGCAGAAACTGAACTGCATTCTGATTTTGCGAAGTTGCTTTTTGAACTTTCAAAGCTGGCGATTTTAAAAATAATGCCCGATGCTGAATCAGACTTGAAAGTTGCTCCATCTTTTACAGTTGCTTCTTAAAGCAGAGCCTTAAGCATCAGGACTTGGTAACAATAACGTTGCGTGATCTTCAACTATGAATTTCTAGATTGGTTTAACTCTTTTAAAAACATACTGAATTAAGTAAGTTTTGTCTGCTTTTCTGAACTCTGCTTTTTTTTCTTTCCCGTGCAAAGGAATATTTATTGTGGATATTTTGATGTGGCATAAAGTAGGCTTGTCCCTGTTAGTCTTTGCCTCTGCTAGAAGCAGTAGACAATGCAGCATAGGGGCTTTAAAGTTTTTTCTAATGAATTTTGTCAAACTAGTAGTTGCAGTGCAAGCCACCATGAAGAATTTCATGGCTGCTATTGTCTGTGGAAGATGAGAGCAAATTATTTTATGAACTTGTATCGGAAGTAAGCTCACATGTTCTGAACTTCCACCCTCTGCCATGATTTGGTCCTCGCTCCTTAGCACGCCTCAGCAAACTCACTCTTCCACTGCTCCTCATCCTAGGTGCTTTATTTTCTTCTTCCACGCACAGCAAGCTGCTTGCAGCTCTCCTGATAGGATCAGTTTGCATTTTCTTTGCCCAGAATAGCCTAGCTAGTAATCAACTCATCAACAATGAAAGGTTCTCCCCTGTAAAGGCAAAAACTTAAAGCCTGCTATTACCACGTAAGGCTAAAAAATTAGTGCTGCTAATATTAATTTGTATTAGGATTTCTTGTCTTTTTTCCCACCCCCCCCCCCCCCCCCCCCCGAATGCTAATAATGTGATTAAAAACTTGGTCCTTGTAAATCAAGTGCAAATCACTGTGGAAATATTCAGATGCATGTAAACAGCAGAGTTGTTAATTCTGAATTGAAAAACTTAAAATACTGCAGTCCTGAAGAGCTGTGGGCAGAAAATGTGTTTGATTTGAACCTTCCTAGCAGTGAGTTACTGATGCATTTCAATGGAAACCAACTCAACAGTACTTCTCATTCTGCACGTGCTTTTCTTGTCCTCTGTCACAATTTTAAGATATATTACATTTTCAATCAGTCTCTCTTTCTCCCCACCCCTTTTTGCTGAAATCTGGGAGTGTGGAGTTGGCTACAAATACAATACTGATCTTAAAACATTGAAACTTCAGTTTTTTGCCTACCTCACAGTAAAACTCATTCTGAAAAGTGTTACTATCGAAAGTGCTGTTAGGTCTTCCCCTAGTCGTAGAGTTCTAGAACATGTTTTTTTGGCTTGTGTTTTTTTTATGCCTTTGGAAGATGATCCAAGAGCTTAAGAATTGGTTTACTATTTGATTTTGCTAGGTCCTGTGAAAAAGGGCAAAGAGCAAAACACGGAGCGCAGCTTTTTTCTCAGAATGAAGTGTACACTGACTAGCAGGGGAAGAACAGTGAATATAAAGTCTGCTACATGGAAGGTAACTAATGCAAAGAAATATTTATGTAGTTTGGCAGCTTCCTCTTCAGATGTCATAACACTGTATTTCAAAATTTTTACTTCATGTAATGAGCTTGAGTTTCACTAAGTAACTAATTAAATGATTGTGCTTCAATATGCTGAATTTTAATGCTGAATACATCACGGAGGTAACTGAAACAATGTTTTAAAATGAGTTTTTCAAAACTTTAATGAATTCTCCATTTTAAATTAGAGGTCATTTACTTGCTAGAAATTATAATTACTAAATGTGTTTGCATAAAGCCTTCTCCTCTGAGAAAAAAATACTTGACACCACTTACGCTGATACCTGATTTCTTTTGATTTGACACTGTGTGACAGTTGAGGTCTCTCTGAAGGACTTCAATCCCATTCTTTCCGAAGCTGCTGGCTATCCCTTTTGTAACAGTTGGAACAAAAAGAGCCCAGCCTGATAACTTTCTGCAGTGAATGCATTTTCTCCTCTGGACAAAAAGTAACCTTTTACTGTATCGAGTGGTATTGTGGCTCACAATTCTCCTTTATAACCTAAATTCAGTTATTCTGGATCAAACAACTTCTTTCTTTGCTGCTGTCTGTGAACAATTTCTACTTCAGAATGGTTAAAAAAAAAAAACCCAAACAAACTACAAAATGCAAAACTTCTTTTCTCTTGAAGACTATATTTGATCTATCACTTCTGCGGAAGATCTAAAATGGAGGTTGCTACTATTACCATAACTTTCAAATTTAAATAGTAAGATACGTTTTGCTGAGGCAATTGCTTATCAGTGTTGTCATTAACGTAACTTTCAAAGAAGAACAGTTCACAGAAATGTCTAGTGTTCTTTCAGCCAGTGCCCGAGAGGAAACAGTTGGCAGCCTGTGTACTCATCGCAGTCTGCGTAGCGTGAGGAGAGCTGCCGCTCTCCTGTAGCCATCCGTTTGAAAGCACTACTGCCTTTCTGTTGTTGCTATCGCATCGAGGGGTGGGGAGGGGAAGGACTTCGCTCCGGGTGTGCTAATGGAAATACGATTGTGTTGTCTGACAGACAAGAACCTAGTCTCTTTTTAAAATGCAACTTTCCCATAGGTACTGCACTGCACTGGACACATTCGTGTATATGACACATGCAGTAATCAAACTACCTGTGGCTACAAAAAGCCTTCTATGACATGTCTGGTGTTGATCTGTGAACCTATTCCTCATCCATCAAACATTGAGGTCCCCTTGGACAGCAAAACGTTCCTCAGTCGTCACAGTCTCGATATGAAATTTTCCTATTGTGATGAAAGGTAATATATATTTTGTACTTAAATTCATTCGAAGGATTTGCAGGGCTGGTACATGTTGGCCTTATATATTTATTTAGTCTTACGTGTTAACTTGATCCATCTGTGCAATGGAATAATTCCTGGGATGCTTTGGCTTTTACTAACTGATGAGGGTGTCTTATTTAAAAGCCAGATTTTTAAATCTAAGGAAGGTGTAGGGCTATTACTTTGGAATAAATCCTTTGCCTGCAGTTAACTGCCTATTCAAACTGGTCTTTAGTGGCAGCAATTAAATTGAAATGAGAAGATACGTCTGGACGCTTGAAAAACAGGAAGAATTTTAGGTGTGTCAAAGATGGTGGT